GAAGTTGGCTAAATCACACACACACACACACACACACACACACACACACACACACACACACACACACACACACACACACACACACACACACACACACACATACACACACACACACACACACACACACACACACACACACACACACACACACACACATAATTACTTATTTGCACCCAATGAAGAAAATTAAATGTGTGTGTACGGAAAAGAGTAACTCAATGAAGATGTGACAGGTTATATTTTTACTTCTCTTTTATAGACGTTGGCTGTTTCCTGTCAACTCTCAAAGTAATGCCGTGAATATGAATACTAAAGCAGTGTGTTTCTGAACACAAATGACCAGAAAAGTCAGGATATGGTTAGCCTAGCTTAGCATAAAGACTGGAGTTAGATGGGAGCAGCTAGCTTGGCTCGGTCATTAAAGCTTCCTGATTCTCAGGTGTGTTGTTAGTTTATATTCGTCAACATGCAGTAAATGGTTTGTGACATTAAGATGATTTGAATTGCAGTAAAACCATCTTAAGGTGTCTCTGTTGCTTAATCCTGAGCGTGAAACAAAGCACAGTTTGCTCTACCTTTGAAGCGTCCGGATCCTACAGTTTTTTGGTTTTCTTTCTACTATTGCATTACATTTGTCTTCTTAAAAGCTCAGTTTTGGTTTTTGCAGCTTATTAAAACGTGTGTATTCACCCTGTTGGTAGTGAATCCATCAGCTGTAAGGCCTGTATAAATTGTCTCTATGAACAGAGTAAATCGACGCTTCACGTTGCCCTGCTCCTTGGAAATAGAGTTAAAATAGAAATCCCCACCTTTATTTAAAACCTGTGAGAACTTAAAGAAGGTAAAGTGTTCCCATATATAAATGACTTCCTGTCATGGTGGTAGACTCACTTCCTCCTTGCTGTTTACATGTCAGTACACCAAGCTCATTTGAGAACATTTCACGAGGGCTGGTGGAGCAATTTTGGGGAAACCCAGCCAGAAGGCTCACCATCGTTTCTGCCTCCCAGATGTTTGGATTGTCCTCGTTAATCTCATTATGGATCTGGTTAACCACATCGGCCTCTCCTTGGTGAGACTGACAGAAAGGCAGCCAGACCGCTTCCCCTAAACTGGGCCCAGGGACGGATACAACCACAGGAACAGAACTGGGGTCCACCTTGTATACAGTATGTGTTTGTCATTCTCCCGCTCGGTGTACAGTAGTTTGGTTCAGATGACCTCAGAATAATCTCAACAACAAAATAATCGCAAGAAACTCAGCAGCTCCATCCAAAGTCACATCTGCCAGAGCAGCGGGGAAACATAAAGCAGCACTCGTTTGGGGCTAGAATGATAGGGTGGACAGAAATATGATTCACCTTTAATTCCCCTTCCTCTGTCTCCAGTTAGGGTTGAGTGAGCGAACACTATTCAGACGTTAGCTCCTCACACAACAAATGCTCCTGTCATTCAACCAGCGATTATCCAGGACTCCAGGGAAACATTTTTATAAATATTACAAACACAAGAATATGAGACTGTGTTTAGAAATATGGCTGACCCACCCTGTTATAGCGTTATATCATAATACAACCCTGTTATCTAATCTTAAACTTCACAAATCCCTGATCATCTCAACATTTGCTTTTTATTAACAGCCTGATCGATCAACACCTGTGCAGAACATATTAAATGTTTAGTATTTATTAGGCCTAGTTCTGATTTTTGAAATAAATCAGTCCTTTTTTTAAATCTTCAAACTGATTTTGGTTTGTGTTCATGGAGGCAAAATTAAAACGGTTATGAAAGTGAGAACTTCTCCTGGATATGTGATCATTATAACTAGCTAGTTAGTTAGCTAGCTAGATAGCTAGTTAGTGTGTTAGTTAGCCAGGCAGTTGTGATTAATTGCTTCCCCTCACTGACCTTGTAATCTAAAGGTGTCTGTGTTGCTTAATCCTGACCGTAAAATAAAGCACAGTTTATTGGAATCACACTCTTGTCAAACCGTGTCATAATTGCTGTAAATATTTTAGGACGCCTGTAAAAACACGCATCTGTCTGGGGAGAGGGTTGGCTCTGGTCCAAAAGCCAACCTCAATCCTCAAGGAGAATTCGGGTCCTTTACTCAAAGACTCCTACACAATAAGAGTCATCCCTTTCCCCAAAATAGACAAAGGACATTTTAAGCAGCAGGAAAGCTCGTGTTCGGACGCTTCTCCAAATGATTCTCTAAACATTCAGACCAGTTACATCCAGGCCATGGCTTGTCAGATGTGGAGAGTGTTGGAGCGGTTAAGGAGGTTATTGAGGATGCTGAAACCATTTCTCACATTTTCAAGATCGAAAAAGTCAGTTTCAACCAGAAAGCGTCCATATCTGTCCTCTCTGTGGACGGATTCTGACTGTTGCAACCGTTGGAGACAGAGAGCACCTGATGAGCATTGTTACCTCTACAGTGGACAATTTATATTAAAATAAATAAACAACTATCCAATCCAAATGATCCCCTAAATCTTCCAAATCGAGCCAAATGAATCCGAATCATTCCACAGAGAGAACAGATATGGACGGTTCTCGTACTCTGATAGAGTCAGGAGTCTGATTAACTCCGGGACGATTTTAGGCGACTCTGGATCAGTTGGATTGGATTGATTGTTTATTTGGGACATAATTGTCAGGTAATAATGCTCATCTAGGGCTCTCTATATCCAACAATATGCTCATGGTATTCAGAATCAGGGCACAGAGAACAGAAAAGGCCACTTTCTGGTTAAAACTCACATTTTTGATCCTGGAAATGTCAGAAATGGATTCAGCATTCTCCCTAACCTCCAAAACTATTGTCTGCTAATCAACTCACTGATGCTGACTGTGATGTCCCAGCATGCAGGTGAGCATCCAGCAGTCTCTCTGAGCTGGAGACCCTACTCTACACTTCTATCAGAACACTTTGGGGTCTCAACATGTCTCTCTGAGCTGCAGACCCTACTCTACACTTCTATCAGAACACTTTGGGTCTCCACATGTCTCTATGAGCTGCAGACCCCACTCTACACTTCTATCAGAACCCTTTGGGGTCTCCACATGTCTCTATGAGCTGCAGACCCCACTCTACACTTCTATCAGAACACACAGGGTCTCAACATGTCTCTATGAGCTGCAGACCCCACTCTACACTTCTATCAGAACACTTTGGGTCTCCACATGTCTCTATGAGCTGCAGACCCCACTCTACACTTCTATCAGAACACTTTGGGTCTCAACATGTCTCTATGAGCTGCAGACCCCACTCTACACTTCTATCAGAACCCTTATGGTCTCAACATGTCTCTATGAGCTGCAGACCCTACTCTACACTTCTATCAGAACATTTTGGGTCTCAACATGTCTCTCTGAGCTGCAGACCCCACTCTACACTTCTATCAGAACCCTTTGGGTCTCTACATGTCCAGGTTCGGAGCCCTTTGTCCTCCACCTGAAAGCAGCATGGCTGTGGGGTCAGAGTGAATGCAGCTCTGACAGAAGCAGGAGAGGACCAATCACGATGCAGCAAAATGAAAGCTAAAGGGTGAGAGGGATGGAAACGATATGGGATGCTCTCGGGTTGATGAGGCGTGACTTCCCCGCTCGGTTAGAGAAGAGAAACAACGTGCAGAGGAT